ATCTATATAAAAAATCTGGCATTCAGAATTAATTTTACTTTATTTAAGGAAGGACGCCAACCTGAATTCCTGAGACGTTCCTTTCTCGAGGCTCAGAATAAACGCTACTATCGTACAATATACATCACACACCATTCCATTATTAATGTCTGCTGCGTAAACCAATTGTTTTAGGTGGCACCACAGATAAAATTGCAAAGGATTGAGTTCGGAGAAACGTGCTGCTTATGGAATCGGTCTCCCCCTACTTATCTATCTTTTTATGCTAGATGCCAACTAGTGCATTGTGAACAATGTGACTAAAATATGCCGGATCCCCATCATGCATGAACTATATGCGTCTTCGCATCAGCAGGGGTACATCTTCAAGCAGATTTGGAAGAGTGTTCGAAATAAAGTCTAAGTAGAGAACTCCATTATTACGCACTGGGATAACATATGGACCTAGAAGACGGTCACCTACAATTCCAGCCCACACATTAATCGTAAACTGATGCTGGTGTCTAGCCTGTATTGTACCATAAGGATTTCGCTCCACCCACAAATGTTGTTTGTGCAAATTTATCATTCCATCTCTTCCAAATATTGCCTCATTCGTAAACTGAAGACACAAACAATGGATCGACAGTTTGTGCAAGGAACTCTCGGCCAAATTTATACCGTGGTGAGTGATCAGATGTCGAAATGATGCGGATACAGAAGCTAAACTTGACTTACTTTCTATGCTATGTACATGCTAGGGCCACTTGACGTATGCTGATACCTGGATCGTCTCAGGCAGACGGTAGAATGTGTTATTCGTGGTCAGGTGTTTGAGCGAATTTCGGTCTTCCTCGATCCATAGTTTCTGGACTCACGTATCCTGACTCAGCAACACGGCAATAAACACAAGTAAATATTGCGGGAATCGACTGCCCTTGATGTGGAAACTCAATCTGATACAGCCGTGCAGCTTCACGTCCATTACCATTCACACGGCCCTATGTAAAAATTATATCTGTCTGCTTACGATATGAATATCATGCCATTGTTAAACGGAACACATCTCAGTTAACTCACTACTACGCAATTTAAACTTTGAAGATAGACTAACCACAAATATACACGAATGACAAATGTAACCTTGTCTACATGGCAACACAGCGCCATTTAACGTAAACTCAAAAACGAAGATTTGTCCTTGTTTTGGTGTCAGTAACCCGTCCCCAATGTTTGTAAAAGTATTTTTGATACACACACACACACACACACTATATATATATATATATATATATGTGTGTGTGTGTGTGTGTGTGTGTGTGTGTGTGTGGAAGAGGTTATAGTTGTTCCAACGAGAGAAAAAAAATATTTTAAAAAGATTTTTTGCGACCAGTCCAAGAAAGATATTTGGATTACTACTACACAAAAAAGAAGGGTTAGACATCAAAAACATAAGGAAATTTATGTGAAAATATCGACTCTTTGCCTGAAGAAGGTAGCGAGACTGGAAACACGTGTAGCAAAAATTATGAAAAATAATATATATATATATATATATATATATATATATATATATATAAATCCACTCTCCTTATTTTAACATTATATACATATATATATATATATATACAGACACACACACTTACATATATATATATATATATATACAGACACACGCACACTATATATATATATATATATATATATATATATATATACAGACACACACACACACTTACATATATATATATATATAGACACACACACACTTTTATATATATATATATATATATATATATATATATATATATATATATATATATATATATATATATATATATATATATATATATATATATATATATATATATATATATATATATATATATATATATATGATAACTACTCTGCCGAGGTTCCCAGGCTTCATGAATTTAAGCGTTTTACTAGATTGGCATCTAGGTTCCACCTGATAACTGTTGAAATGGTTAAATGCAACTGCCACTTCTACTCCAAGAGTTGCCTTTTTTGCCCTTTCCACCTGTGGAACTCACTTCCGTTTAATCGCTTCCGTGATAACTACAATCTTCTTGAATCTTGTTCATCTTTTGTCCTTTCCTCAATCCTTCATATATTGAATCTTTTCTTTTCTCTTACTATCACTTCCTATAACCCCACTGTGTACTAGTGGCATTTCTGCCTTGCTTGGGGTTAAATGATATATATATATATATATATATATATATATATATATATATATATATATATAGTGTGTGTGTGTGTGTATGTTTATATCTATTCATGTAAATTTATTATCTGGTGATATGATCCTTGAAGTTATGGGGAAGATTAATTATGTTCAAACTTTTATTCACTATAATGATTTCATATTCCATAAGACAACTGTCGCTCGCACTAGGAGGAAAACAAAATCCGCTGTGATATCTTAGTCTCGCCACCATTTGAACTCGGAAGCAAGGTTTCGGCATTTTACATCACTTTTACTCGACTATGTCTACCATTCTTCTACAAGCATGCTAACAGATTGGTATTTAGGTCACACCCATTTACTGTTGCAATAGTTAAATGCAACCGCCCCTTCTACTTCAAGTTTCGTCTCTCGTACTTCCCGCTTGTGAAACTCTATTCCGTTTATTTGTTTCCCTTATGAATACAATCTTCAAAAATGTAAATGCAACATCAATTGGTATCTTCTGTCTTCTTGAATCCTGTCCATCTTTTGTCCTTTCTTCAATCCTCCGAATACTCAATCTTTTCTCTCAATTCCACTCACTGTAACTCCCCAGACCAGTTGATTATAATATGTGGGGCGCATTTGAGCGAGAGACCAACAAAACTCCTTGTAACACCAAAGACAAACTAAAGGCGAGGATTATGTCAGCATTCACCAAATTAAACAAGCAGACCGCCCGGAAGATTTGCAGGAGATTCCGAAGTCGTCTGGAGGCCGTGATTGAAGACAATGGTGATTTTCTTGAATAAATTTACTCTTTACTATTTAAAGATATTTTTACGCGATTTTGGTAAATATATATGTTAAAATGAGATGTCAGTGTTATTTTTACATTTGCGATATTTAGACATCAATATTGTCATTATTAATATTCGTTCATCACTTTCTATCTATCTATCAAAATTCGTCAATATCTAGTAATGTAAGCTGGTCACTATCTATCTATCTAGCTCATTTTGTTCATATCAGTCTATCTATATCCTTCCTATCTATCTATCTAACTATTAACATTGTCACTATACAAGGCGTCCCTAAAGGACATAGGGAATCTCATTAACTTTTTATACGTCCACAGATTAAACATAGTTTTTTGGCGAAAGAATAAAGAACTGAGGTATGCTAAAGGAGAAGGTGTACTCAATGAAAATCACAGATGCAACACACTTGATTGAACGCATAAAGAGTAAATGTGCTAAACTTGACGGCAATGTGGAGTTGTTGCATCGGGTTAACGCGAATCCTGCAAAGCGCATCAATATTTGCATCACAAATGATGGAAATCATATTGAAGGTGTTAATTTTTTTTAATATTTCCGTTCAACAAATTTTTTTTGAAAATTTAATTTCTTCAAAATATGCAATTTTACCTATGTGTACAAACTTCATGGACACCATCTATATTAATGTAAGTTCGTCACTATCTATTTATGTATGCCATTCCTATCTATCTATCTATCTATCTATCTATCAAAAATTCGTCGCTATTAATGTAAGTTCGTCACTATCTATCTATCTATCTATCTATCTATCTATCTATCTATCTATCTGTTTTTAAACTTCTAATTTTATCTTATGGTCGGAGACAATCGTATATTTTAGTATTCCGACGGGTCTTCTTAACATCAAAGTGATTTTTGAAACCCATTGTTAACGAGCCTCATTGACTCAGCAACGGAAACTTATCTTCATACTGAATTACAATTCTAAGTTAACTTTAACAAGATGACGCATACAATGATGATAAATATAACGGTATTCAGAATGATTCCTGAAATTCCTGGAATTAATAAACGAATTAATAAGCGAGGAAAGTTCGGATAATTTCGGTTGAACTATTTTTTCATTTATTCTTCAACTCTAATGTAGCGTTTATAATGCATTTATAATTTTCATTTACTGATCTAAAGACAAAAATATATTCCTTTTAATACGATGTGTATATCGATGCAGGAGTATGGATGCTTTTGTTTACGTATCCGCATGTGTTTCTCTGTATGTGTGCATATTTCTCTGCATGCCAAAGTGTTTACTTCTTGGCATTTTAATCCGAATAAACTTTGATCAAGAAATATAAAATGAGAACGCCAAATAAAGGTTTTTAATCAGTAATTCTTTTCCTTTTTGATAATCAAAAATCCATATTTTCATCATTTAAGTAAATTTTCCTTCATTGTCTTTTTTGGTGAGCTTCAGCGTTTTCTGTTTTTAATGAGTTTTAGAAGGCAGCAGTTTGATCATTCTGTTAATGCTTTGTGTTTTTGTTATTCTCACAAATCTAGCAGATGTCCGTTCAATTGTCATTAGCCTTTCGTGCGATAATGCTGACCATGACATTTTGGATGTTATCTAAGCGTGAGTTAAAAGGCACCGAAATCTGAAGATGTTTTGGAATTGCTAAAGATGCCTTACAGAAGCAAAGCAGTTATAAATAGTGACGAGCTTACATTGATAGCAACGAATTTTGATAGATAGATAAGATAGGAATGACATAGATAGATAGATAGATAGATAGATAGATAGATAGATAGATAGATAGATAAAAAGAAATGTCATAGACAGATATGAATGACATAGATAGATAGATAGATAGATAGATAGATAGATAGATAAAAAGAAATGTCATAGACAGATATGAATGACATAGATAGATAGATAGATAGATAGATAGATAGATAGATAGATAGATAGATAGATAAAAAGAAATGTCATAGACAGATATGAATGACATAGATAGATAGATAGATAGATAGATAGATAAAAAGAAATGTCATATACAGACATGAATGACATAGATAGATAGATAGATAGATAGATAGATAGATAGATAAAAAGAAATGTCATAGATATGAATGACATAGATAGATAGATAGATAGATAGATAGATAGATAGATAGATAGATAGATAGATCTTAGATAGTTACGAACTTACATTAATAGATAGTGACAATATTGATAAATAGATAGGAATTAGATAGATATGAACACACCGAGATAGATAGATAGATAGATAGATAGATAGATAGATAGATAGATAGATAGATAGATGAAAGAAACAGGAAAAATTCGCTGGAACCAAAGAAAAGCGTTATGAACTATTATGCAATATCGGTCCTCCTATATGCCATTGAATGTTGAAACAATCTCTTCAAAGATGAAGAAGAGGCTTGAAGTAACAGAAAGACAAAGGGAAATGGAAACAAAAATGTCACAAAATCAGAAAGAGACAGCCAAAATTTCTCAGGCACTTAATGAGGAAAATGTGCTTAGAGAATTTGACACACAAAGGACATATTGAAGGCAAGAGAGATCGGAGGAAGCATCGCGTAACCGTCCTAAATGGATAGTAGAACAAGGTTTAGGAGAGGTAGTAAAAAAACAATCCTTACTACGGGTTACAAAGGTCAGTGTGTTATGGAGAGCCATGATCGCCCAGATCCTGAAGTCGTTATAATAAAATAGTTTCCTCTCATACCCGTTGCTCTTGAAATATTTGATATCGTTATCATTAACTGAATCATTTAATTTAAAAATAGAATCTCCCTTCAGGACGTAGGCGATCATGGTTCTCCACTCATACCTTTTCTTTATTATCTGCGAATTGCTTGTTCTCCATAAACACTTTGGCTGTCCCCGACCTGTAACAATTTTAAGGGACTTTACAATACACAGAGACAAAACAATCAAATCTAATCTCCCTGACATCGTGATTGGAGACTGCAAAGACAAAACTTGCCTTTTTATTCACATGGCCGTCCCTGCAGATCGTAATGTATCTTTGAAGATCTTCAAAAACCTATCAAAATACAAGGATCTTGAAATCGAAAATCTCAAAAATATGGCACATGAGGACATTAACAATTCCAGGTGTAGTTGGAGTCCTCAAATTCATTAGAAAAGATTCCAGTAAAGCACTGAAGGAATCTCTGGTAGTCCATGCCTTAAAGAAAACAAATTACACATAAGTACAGCCCACACATTACGAAGGGCTTTATCAATGTAAAATATGTACGATTTATTTTCAAAACTACTCAGTGGAAGATGTCTTGATGCCATTTCTGACCTTAGGTCTCTGGTAGGGACCCCGGAAAGAAATGCGTATACACTATAAAACAAAGAAAATAAAACAATAATAATATTAGTGTCTAGTACACAAGAATATTTCACGGTTTAATGATGGAATAAGAACTTTGCCAGTTCTCTGTCTATAAATACACGTGAAAATTCCATTGTAACATCGTTAAATATTTGAGCGTAACAATAAAAAAAATATTGCAATAACAATCAAAAATATGAATGCTGGTCTTTATTTTAAGAAGTAATGAGGTATAAATGAAAAGGTTTGAAATTGACAAGGGTTTTCATTTCCCTGAAGCAAACGTTAAACACATGAGAGTGTTATCGCTTCCTCCCTATTCTCTCTTTCTTTCTTTTTTCTCACTGGAGCTAAGCTCTCTCTCTCTCTCTCTCTGGTATGTCTTTTCCGTCTTACCTCGCAACCAAAACGAAAAAAGTGCATAATGAGGTATTGACAGGACGTAGCGTCCGCGCTAAGGAACAAGTAGAGTTATAATATGATAATCATATCATTGTTAGATTAAATAATATTATTATGAAATCGCGATGGGTTGAAGGGGTCATCTGGGGTTAAGTTTATAACTTATGGCAGTGGGGATAAAATTAGCTTAAGGAAGGCCTTAACTTCGCGCGGGATGATTTTTTTAAGCACTCTCTTTTTTATATGTATAAAAAGGTGCTGCTAATTACACTATGTTTTTGAAATTATATTTATTCTTCATTTTTATTTCAAAGGAATGATCCGTAGAGAATGACAATAAACGACTATCCGAGAATTGCAGCTTTTTTCAAATTTAAGAGTTAAAATAAAAACGCTCATCTACAAACCTCTTGAAAGTTGTAGCAGTATTTTTTTTTTTTTTTAGATATTTTACAAAATATAGCTAAATCTGCAACAAAGCCATAAGAGTAAAGTACCAGGTCAGGATCATATTTTATTACAATTGTAATCATTTGCATGAAGACCAGGCATTTATTATATTTAGCTGAACTGGCAGAAGTCTACAAGTTCCGGTGCACAAACTCAATATATTTGTAATAGCATGGCGTGTTTGATAATGAATATTTAATTACGAAGTACGCACGGTATTTCTTAAGATTAGTTTGGACTGGCAAAACATAGTAAGGTACTTAGTAAGGATCAAATTCACAAGAATTATAATTGTAGTATTAGCTGATTGATGGCCGAGTGGTTAGAATGTTCGCATTTTGTCTGATGAGACCCGGGTTCGAATTTCACCACGGTCGATTTGTCAGGAAGGTGACTTCCTGATGTTATCGGACTGGAGGGATCGATCCCGGCATGCGGCACCTTTGGAAAGTTCCTGAAACCATACCACAGGTTGACCTAAGCCTTGTGTGTAAAATTGGGTAGACGGAACCTTAAGCCTGTCGATAGCTGTGCACGAAGGGTTTGAGCTTGCTGGCCTTCTTCAAATTGTTGATCACGCTAGATAACACGCTCTTTCCCAGAAACTGTAACTAAGGTCTGCTCAGCATTGTTGCAGTATAAACCACAAATGCGCCTGAGCAAGCGTCTGCGACAGGGATTGGCTAGCCGCAATAGTAGGCGGGTATCCTCGAATACAAGTGGCCAACTTAGATGATTAACCATTTCTTCACGATGCTAACATCGTTTATCTTAATCTATAGAGATTGAAATGTTGACAGTATTAATAAATGGATACGACTAACTTGATAATCACTACTCCGAAGCTAAGTTTTCTGGCAATTTATGGTAGGAACGCGAAAAGTGGAATCGGCGAACAGAATTCTTCTTCTTCTGTGGGCCGTGTCTCTTCAGAATGTCGGTGATCATGGCCGTCCACATTTTCCTGTCTTTTGTAGCTCTTAATAAATTTTGTTTTTTTTGTTATCTCTCTTAAACTCTGTTGTCATCCATTTACACAAGCTCTCTAGATAAGTTATGCGTTGTTTTCCTCTGTCCGTCTTGACTTCAATCTGTCCTGTGTGTATCATTTTTCGAAGCCCCCTTTCCTCATTAATCCGCTGTATTTACTTTCGTAGTATTCACTTGCAGAAGGCGTCAACCCCTATCATCTCGCATCGGTTATCGGGTAAATAGCCGAGTATACTTTTCTATCCTTAGATGAAAGATGGTAAAATTAATTATAATATTAGCCGTTTCCTTATCAGGAAATATTTGGTTTTCATTGACCGATCAGCCAGTACAGCTACCGGTTGAAATTTATAAAAATCTTTCTATTAAAAGAATTAGTCAGGATAATAAGTTTTAGAAGTTCAGTAGCTATTATTGCTCTTTCTAGTATTAATGGAATTTCTTTTCTTGCCTTTTGGTTGAAGTTGTGAGAAGCATCAGCATTTTGATTATGTCATTATTCTTTCTTCGAGTTACATGTGCTATCCATTTTAGTTGTTGAAACTGTTGAAAATCTTCATGTGATACGGTTTCTGTTATTTAGTAAAATTACTTGCTTGTGATACTGTATCGCCAGGCAAAAAGAACTGACAAAGTATGGTCCTTAGTAAAACCTACAGACTTCACTTGATCGCAGCCATTTTCAACCATAGCGCTGAAAAGTGGTTGTATACAACTGACAGTTATGGTGGTATTTCTGAATGAGCCTGGTGCCATGTATGACATCCTCATGAAAGTCTCGATCTGATGAGACTATTTAAGAACATGATTCAAGCTTATAGGTTAATTTTTGCTTTTGTAGCAACTTGTTGTTTTGTGCGAAATTGCTCCAGTACAGCCTATCCTATGTTCAATGTCTACCATTTTTTTTTTGTTATAATTGATCCATACACCGAGGCATTTGAAATGTATTCACTAGGACTACGTCGAACGCAAAACTGTAGAGAAGGCAACGGGAAATCATTTCACTATCTTTCGTAAGAAGACATAACAATTCCCAGATCAGTTTCCTGTACCGCTCAAGTAACAGATCCCTCCCTCTATCCTTTACCTTTACAAGAGCTTGATCGGGTCGAAAATGGATTGCTGCTGTTATATATGGACGTCAGCTGCTCAGTCGTCACATTCCACTCTCGACAGGGTACAAAAGCGTCTCTTCAGCCCCGTGGGTTACGAATTATTTTCCACCTTACACAGACGAGAGATGTATGGAGCCTCTCGCCGATCTATCGCTATTTCCATGGAGAATGTTCAGATGAACTACTCATAGTTTCACCAGTCCTAATCTTTACGGCTACTAGCCTCCCTGATTCCTGTCATGTTACCCTGATGGGATGTAAGTTCCACTTAAGCAGTTTCTTCCCACGAACGACTGCCTTGTGGAACCAAATGAAAAGAGGCTGCTTTCCGGTCACTAATATCTTAACCTGGGCACCTCGGCGTGGTGTAATGGTTAGCAAGCTTGTCTTGCAAGACGAATTACGACTGAGTAGTGAGTCCTATCATCACTGGGTGCCCTATACCCTCTGACTTGTGATATCTAAGCTACGTGTAGAAAATCACCACTGGGCAAGATAACAGTTTAGCAAGCTTGTCTCGCTAAAATGATTCCGACTGGGTTCCCCAAACTTTCGGCCTTGTGCTACACCTAAGCTACGCTTTGAATATCACCATTGGGCACGTCAACTTGGTGTAACGGTTAGAAAGCTTGTCTCGCTAGAACAATTACGACTGAGTGATGATTTCGATCCTCACCTGGTGCCCCATATTGGAAATTTCGACTTGTTGTAATAGTGAGCAAGCTTGTCTCCTTAGAAAAAGCACGACTGGGTAGTAAGTTCGATCCTCACTGGGTGCCCCATACTTTCGGCCTTGTGCCACATCTAAGCTACGCTTAGAAAATCACCATTACAAACTTAACCTGTTCAAGGGTAGCGTTAACCATTATCTTCTACATATATCCGTATAAGTTGTGCCTTCTACTCTGTAACCCTTTACCTTGACTGGCTCTCGGGCCTCGTACAGGGTGAAAAATGAATCTGTGGAAAACCATGAATGCCCACGTCTTGAAAGGACATGGCATCAAAAGAATGAGAAGTTATGAAAAACTATAGTTGTCAGAACATAAATCATTGTTTTGCAACGAAAGTGTTCTATTGTTAATTCGTGATTTGTCAGATTTGGGAAATATACAGAAACCAGTCTTGATGTAATAGTTTTAACTTTTAAGCCTAGCATGTACATGTGTGCGTGGTGATTAGCCTGGCTCAATATATTGCAGAGGAATTAAGTGTTAAGTTTGCTTCGGTTCTTAGCGAGACCAAATCTCTGCCGTGCGCATTTTGTTGCACGAAAGCTCAGGAGAACAGTTCTAGGTTCTGAAACATCTTGTAATCCACACATTGGTCGCAGAAACATAGCTAAATTTAATAATTATTATTTCCACCAGCTGGAACGGTACTTTCATAAACGTTTGTATTGTTATTTTCACAAGTAATTTCAAGTTAAGTGATCACTTTTTTTTTCTCAACACAGAAAGAAAACTGAAGATACTTTCAAGTAGGTTCGTTCGGGTTGGAAGTCAGTAATTAACTGAAAATAGTCATCGTAGATTCCTCCTCTAGGTAGTACCATTCAGTACAGTGAGGTGTATTATCAGAAACACGATATGATATCTGAAGGAATAGAATGATTAGTTTGTCTTTTTGCCAGTGAGAATAATTGTTGGTACGTTGGTATTGTTTAGCGGCATATTCATTTCTGTGAGCTATTTGATGCCTAAAAGTAAATATTTTGAACGCAAGGGTATGCCTTCAATTACAGATAAAAGGGTGGACCTGATAACGCTCCTCAAAACCTCTAATCTCCATACTGCCAGTGTTAGACATTTTCATAACGGTCGTCTTCGAGTATAGAATCCAGAGGTTGGCAGTGAATATTTCGGAGACAGTAGGAAAGCGTAGTTCAGGTTCGCAGTGGATATCACAGCAGAGTGTAGTTCTTCCTTCTGTCGTGTTCGCCTGACAAGTTGGCTCTGGTCCTTCCGGTAGGGTTAAAAGATGGACGCCTTTATACACGACGGATACAGTGTTCTGCGGCTCCTGATTGGTTAATCTTCTATTGGTAGACTATAAAGGGAAATAAGTCATTTTGACTCGCTCACTGGTTATAGATAGTATATACCCAAAAAACCGTAACAGCCAGTTGTAGTGTATCGTCTTACCCAGGACTAGCGAACGATTGTAAATGGATGTTACTTGTGTGGTAAGTGGGCACCGGCGAACCGTGTTGAAATTATCGCTTAGTCAGTTGCGTCCCCTTTCGCACTAATGTCTTCGAAAGGTATAAACCCGTCACTTCTCCCTCAAAAAGCTATGGGTTAAATAGTATAGTCAGATTTATCTTTCTAAACCTAGGGCACTACCATGTTAAGTTAAGTGATCACCTTTTTTTTTTCTTCAATGCAGAAAGAAAACTGAAGATACTTTCAAATAAGGTCGTTCGGGTTGGAAATCAGTAATTAACTGAAAATAGTCATCATAGATTCCTCCTCTAAGCAGTACAATTCAGTATTTCTTTCCTACAACAAAATCAAAAATGTACGGCCCGATCCAGTAACAAAATCTCTGACAAAGTGACTAAATATCGTATCTTGTCAAAGACGGATACAAAACACAATCGCCGGTTCGGACCCAGATAAATGACCGACTGGAGAGTGAGAAATTTAAGAGAATTTCGCCCTTTTGGGTGAGGACATTGTTTGATTTATGCGTTCTCTACGACTAGCCCGCTTCCGGTTATCTCCTGATCTTACAAAAATACTTACTAAAACAAGCGGGTGCGTAATTGAAATTGGAGAAAACCAGACGTAAATAAAATGAAACGTTCAACCTTTCTTCTTTTTATGTGCCGTGTCCTTTCAGGACGTAGGCGATCATGGCTCTCCACTTTTCCCTCTCCCTTGTAGCTCTCAATAAGTTTCGTACCTCTGCCAACTTCCCAAACCACGTTCTGTCATCTACTGACTTAAGCCCACCAGGTATATTATGCGTTGTTTTCCCTTGTCTCTTATTCCCTCTATTCGACCTGTGAATATCCGATTCTCCAGACCCTCCTTTCTCATTACGTGTCCCAGAAATTCCATCTGTTTCTTCCTTATGTTAAGTATAATCTTCTTTTTTGTTTGCATCCTCTCCAAGACCTCATCGGAGCTCACACGCTCGCCTCATAATATCCTTAGCACCCTTTTGTAGAACCACATCTCCGCTGCCTCGAGTCTCTTCTTTATCTTTGAGGAGATAGTCCAACATTCGCTGCCGTATAGAAGGTCAGATGCCACGTAGCAGCTCAGGATTCTTTTCTTTGTCACCAAAGAAATCCTCCTGTCTTACAGTACTCTGCCCAGCTTTTGAAATGCATCCATTTGCCATCCCGATCCGACTTCGGATCTCAGCGTCAAACATACTGTCCTCCATCAGAACACTTCCCAGATGTTTGAACTTCCGCACATGTTTGTTTTTAATGCCCTCGACCTGCAAATCACATTTTAGCCTCAACGTTTTACTGATGATCATGCATTCTGTCTTCTTGTAGCTTATGTTTATTCCAATATTCTCGCATTCTCTCGCTATCTTCTGTACGAGATTTTGTAGTTTACTTAACATTAATCATGTTTTGTCACGGAAACGTATATTTTATTATTGTGAAATAAAAATATTTTTTTCTGATGACGCCGGATCATCGGCGAAACATGTCAATGTAGAAATGTCCTTCTTTTGCATGTTTGATTGATTGATTTGTTTTTTACGATTTATCAACATTTTGCAGTTTATTTAAAGCCAGAGAATATTTTAGATTCTTACAGTTTTGGAGGAGATAATGATTTACTGATACGAGTCATACCAATTAAACCATAGCTGAAGTCAGAAGAGGTGGATTCATGCCTTTCTCAAAAGTATTTGCACATAAGTGAAAAAAACGAACCCAACTGGAAATAGACCGCGAATCCATTTCCGAGCTGTTATCCGTTACACTACAAGCACACCCAAGCTTACAATACCTGGTATTCCCAAGCGTTCACCCATCTAGCTACTGACTAGGCTCAACATTCCTTAACTTCGGTGATCGTACGAGAACCAATGTTTCAACATGATATAGCTGTGTACGCGTGCGCATGTTGTGTTTGTACGCGCGCACCCGCATACGTGTTTCATTGCATGTAACAGATAAGAACTATCCTATGAGTTTTTTTTATTAAATTTTGCTAATGTTCTGGCAGTTTTCTTTTTGGAGTGTCTTAGTGGGTGCAGGACAGCCCCTAATGATTATTGCCCCAAACACTTTCGGCCAATTCATTAACCGTTTACAAGGGGTACGTTGTTAATATCAACAAAATACACCTTAGGACAGAAACGTTGAAAACAAGGAACTCCTTGAAAATGGCTAACGAATTGGCCGAAAGCGCTTGAGATAATAATAATTCCGGGCAGTTTCTGCACTCTCTACTTTTTCTTTTTCTTTTTCTTCATAGTCTTCTTCTTCTTCTTCTTCTTCTTTATAGAGTTTTTCCTCCTCCTCCTCCTCCTCTTCTTCTTTATAGACTTTCCCCCTCCTCTTCTTCTTCTTTATAGACTTTTTCGTCTTCCTCCTCCTTCTCCTCATCCTTCTTCTTCTTTTTTTTCTTAGTCTTCTTCATCATCCTCTTTTTCCTTTTCTTCTTCTTCTTCTTCTTCTTCTTCTTTTATGAACCGCGTCCCTTCAGGTCATAGGCAATTCCGGATTTCTCTAACTTGCTATCTTATGTGGCTCTTAGCAGTTTTCTCCCTAAGCTAAGCACCACTCTACTCTGCCATCTGTTCACACAAACTCGTCAGGAAGTTGCTATCTTGCCATAAATATTCATGTGAGGGTTAAGTTTTCCAATCCCTCTTTCCTCTTTATTACCATTTTCTTGAAGACTGCGCTCCGTCCATGGAAAGTTTAGTATCCTTCTGTAGAACTACATTTCTATTGCCTCTAGTTTTTTCTCCGTGAAGAGATTGTCCAACATTCACTACTATATAAAGGGAAATATATCAAATAACCATCAAGCAAGCTTTTCTTTGTTTCCAAAGATTTTTTTCGTTTCTCATCAACTTGCTTAGCTTTTAAAATTCTTCTTTCGCCAGTCCAATGCGTGTTTGGATCTCTTAGTCACCTCCCTTGTCCGTTGTAAAAAGACAACTGTAATAACTTTAGAAAAATTTCTTAAAAAAATATGACATTTTCCTTGTTAGTCACTTTAAGTGAAACATGTATAAAAAAAGGTTTGTTGTCCAAATATACAATATATATGTATATATATTGTTTTGGCTTTCTGGTCACTGAAATTGCTTTTCTTGAGATGATGTTATTAAATCAGAAGTGAACTAACAGATACGCGCGCCATACTTTCTCTTTCAAATTGACTATCATGTTTCAAGATTGTTGCTGTCTCGATTTCAATCAATAATGCTTCATGCATCATTAGTAAAATTTATTGAAATACCGCATCTCTCAAACAGTGCGGTCATTTGTCTGCTATTGAATTCTCAGGACGTCGGCTTCTCAGATTTTAATTTACAGGGTTAAATTTCCTTCTTCTGTTTTGATTAAAATCAGCATCTTTGGGATCAGATCTTGTACGCGCTCTGCAACGCGGACTTTTGAGTGTGTAAATGTCAGTTGAATGCGTGTGAAAGGTTTTGAAAACATTTTCTAGTTAAGACTTTAATCTAAAACTCAGTCAGTTATGTGCCATGCATGATACACGCGTAAGCGATCATGTATCTTTCGATACATGTCTGATAGGCAAATTTTTCCCGCAGTAAGCTGCCATTTCTTTCTGCGGTAGACCAGTTGTTATCCAAGACTATAGAACACGATCTGTCCGGCTATTTAGATAAGAAGAGGATTCATACCTTTCCCAAGGGTATTAGCACGTAAGTGAATGTAATGGATTCGACCGGAATTCGAACTCGGCTCGAATCTAAAAATAGGTTTTCAAAAACTGCTACACCCGATGTCTTCAAGTGTTTTATATTTAAATATAAATCATAAAAATGTTAAGCATATCTAATTCTGTCATTTCGTTTTTGTCACTAAAATATAGATATTTAATTTTTAACTAATATCTGCATTTTTTTTTTGCTTTTTATTACAATTTTATTAACCAATGAATGAAATCGAAACAAGTGAGAATCGAACTCGCACCCTTCATATCTGTGGAAGAAAGAGAAAAAACACAGGAGTAGAAAAATATGTAGCCTGAACTCATAATAAATTAGGCTTACGGCTGTGTCACATTGAAACACCAGTTTCTGTACGATCACCAAAATTAAGCAACGTCGAGTCAGTATCTGGTTGAATAACCACTTAACAATATTAGATACTGTAAACTTGGATGTGCGGGTGGTGTAATGGACAATGACTATGAATTATTAATCAGAGAGCCGAGTTCAAATTCCCGTTGGATTCGTTTTGTTCACTTACCCGCAAAATACTCTTGAAACTACCGCTTCTCCCCCATCTATGGGTTAATTAGTAAGACTAAACACTTATTATCTCCAAAAACAATTCTAATAGTCTGAAAATATTTTCTGGTTTTAAATAACCTGAAATGGGTTGATAAGCCGTAATAAAAAAAATAAATATGGCATAATAAATAAATCACAGAGCAGATTATAATTTCTGATAATTTCTTGGGACGACCAATTCCAAAACTTTTTTTTTTTTCAGATGTACATAAAAGTGCTGAAGATTCCTCGGCCAGATCTATTTACAAAATCCCTGACCATATCATAGATCAGTGATAGATACAAAAATAAACTCGATGGTTAGGACTCAGATAATGTAATATATATCGAGCTCCTGAGGCATGGTGTTCAAAATTAATAAAATAGTTGAAACTAATCAAAAAAAATGAAATGATACATTTTTTTTAATGTAAAAATTAGTATTATTAATGTATTACGTTGAAATATGTATATATGTTATAAATTTCATTCCACCTGAAACGAAATCACATAAAGCACCTTTCGTTTCGACCTGTTATGATGTTGATTTGGGGTTAGTAGAGACAAAGGCCAAATAACACGTAACACTAAAAAGGGTTTTAATAGGTTGGTAAAACGGTACAGAAATCGCCTGAGTAGTCAATAACTAGCTCAGCTAAGAACTTCTCTGTCTTCTGTCTCCTCCCATGTCAACTGACATGCCACTATTTAAAGTCTTTGTTCACAGACAAGTTCATCTTCAAGAGGGGTGGTAGGTTTCCGACACAACACGGCCCAATACTATTATTACTATAGTTTCACTTGTTGTGGATTTGGTGGAAAACAGAAACCGTTCAAGGAAAGTACTGACGTAACAATTTTAACTTAAGCAACCATAATATTTTATGATTTTTTTCTAAAGTTATTACAGTTGTATTTTTACAACGGATAAGGAAAGTGACTTAGAAATCCGAACATTGGACTGGCGAAAGAAGAATTTTAAAATCTAAGCAAGTTGATGAGAAACGATGAAAAAAATATCGTTAGAAACAAAGAAAAGGTTTCTTGATTGTTAGTTGATATCGTTCCCCTTATAGGGTAATGAATGCTGAACAATCTCTCTACGGATGAGGAAAAAACAAGAGGTAGTAAAAATGAGAAAATGAGGTTGTACAGAAAGATGGGTCGAAATCTTCAAGAAAAAGGCAACAGAAAAAAAAAAACACTTTTAATCAGAATCAGGAAGAGACAGATAAAATTCATTGGAAACATAATAAAGAAGGAGGGATTGGAAAACTTGACCCTCACGGGAATATTTATAGCAAGATAGAAACTTACCTGAGGAGTTTGTATGACCAAGCATAGAAATATGGATCTGAGATTTTACAGAAATGTTGCCTTGAGAGAAGAAACGTTTTTCGAGATTGTAAAAAAAAAAAAAACGGAAAGAAGAGACGATAACCAGTCGTTGAAGAACTGTTCTGAATAGGGGCTAGACAAACAAATCCACTCAAGAGAATAGGTATCTCTTATGCTACTGAAAGAGACTATTTCAGACTTAGAAATTATATCTACCCACCTTTTATTACTCGAGTTCATAGAAAGTTAACACCGCTTAGGATTTTAAACAATTTAACGAAGAACTTCTCGACACTAAATAACTTTCCACTTCAAATCTGAAAGATGTATTTGCTGAGGAAATCAGCGTTAGAAATATCATTCTAAATTTGAACATGAACGCTACCGCCAGCAATGATTTGAAATATTGGCAAGTGATAAACTCATATCATTTTGATATGCAACGGAATAATTTCATACTTAATAGAAAGTTATCTATCAGTAATGGCTGAAATATTAATTTGCATGCTTTTTAATTTTTTTACATTTTTTCATAGTTATATTTTATGCTGTGGTTGTTCAATTAACTCGGGTAAAACCTTTTCAATCCTTTCTCTTTTTTATGAATGACACAGTGCTTTTCAATTTTCGCGGTAGATTTTACCGGAACCTTAAAGATTCTGTTCTTTTTTATTTTTTTTTTTTTCTGTCTTTCAGTATTAGCAATTGCGAAATTCTTCAGAGGTAATCGAAATCTTACAAAGAAAAAGAAATAAAAATAAAATCAAGAAGTGAAGTAAAACTTTAAAAAGCGCTTCGTGTGAGGAAGTCACGTAATTAAATGTACATAACGCGTGAGTCCCTCTCATGGCCATGAAATGGAAGCATTAAAACGTGTGACTATATCATTAATGAGGTATTGAGGCAGCCTAAGTAAAATGTTGTTGAGTTTCATACTTATATTTTTTATAGATAAAAGCAACTCGAAAATATGCTTTTAACAGGATATATCGATTCTGTGGACCAACATTTGCATACAATTACTAAATCTGTAATGAATATCAATAATGAGTTTTTTTTAATGTTTCAAACCGGGTGCTTTCTGAGCAAAGTAGGTAATTTTAACTTTGGGGAAAAAATTGTAATTTCGTCGAAATTTATTTTAAAAATTAATTTATCAAAATCTGTGAAAATGTTTCGCTTTTCCATTTCTAATTTAATTAGTTTTATTGATCCTTTATTTTTTTATTTATATTTTTAAAAATTGCTGGAAGCTATACATATATATATATATATATATCCTAAGGTGATGACGTATTTTAAATTATTGTACACGAATCAATCCTTCAGGTTAAATAGGAACATGCCATTAGTCTAATTACACAGAAATGCTGATTTTGAAATAACCTTGGTTCACGGTCAATTATGGAAAAACATTGTCGAAAAAAAAAGTATAATTTTAATGATATTAGTTAAAATAACCTTTTATCTCATTAACGGGTCGTGCACATAGCGTACTGGCTATCAGTACAGAAAGTGAATTGGCAAACTGAGTTCAAATTCCGGCCAAGGTCTTTGCTTTCACTTTAGAACATATAATAATGATAACAGTTATATTATTCGTTTCCTTATAAGCATCTAGTGTTACTCAAGTTACTCTTTTCTTAACCCCCTAGCCATCGGGCTAAGATCAAATTTCATTATCCTTTCTCCTCCTCTCTAATGGTAATGGTAACATTAAACGTTTCCTTATAAGGAAACATTTGACAATCATTTACTGGGCGCCCTTTACTACTTTCAGTTTAAAAAAATAAATGATTTCAGAAAAACAACTTTCCCAAGTCCAGTAGCTGTTATTACTCTTTCTAATTTTAATATGGTGTTGTGGCCTTGTTAGGACCAGAGATAAAGACACAAGAGATAAACTGAGCAAAACAAATATATTAACAGAAACAGTAATACAAACTTACACAAACGAGAGTGTTACAGTAAGAATATTCGGTCCGAATGTCAGAGCTGACTGCTGGAAACTTCCCTCTCCAAAAGGCAATACCTGCTCCTATTTATAACTGGTAGGGACCATGCGTGCGTGGTTAAATTACAATAATATATCGTCATCCTAGCCTTTTGTTTATAGTAGCGCTGAATGTCAACATATTCAGTACGACATTATTTCCATTGACATAACTTGCTTTTTATGTTAATCTTATAATATGCACTTTGGAAAGAATTATAAATCCTTCTCTTTTTTTCAGCAGGGAAAACTGTATTCTTTAGCCTTGACGGTCAACCACTCTAGAAGAATGATAACTCTGAATTTAAAATCGTTTGAGTGTTGTGGTTGTAATTGTAATTGCTGTTCATGTTGTTCTTGTTGCTGTAACTGTTGTTCTTACAGCGTCAACATTTGAATCATGATAACTTTTATTTCTTTCATTTTGCTGTACTCCGCTGAATATTTTGTAGATTAATTTTTAAATAACTTCGCCTAGTTATTTCTCTGTAGTCCTGCAAATATGTCGTCTGTTTGGTGAAGTGGTAAATAATACTGAATATCCTATTACGACGTTTAGAATACGTATATTTTTTTTTCCTCGTGTAAGTTCAACGAATACACGTCGCCAATTTTGTAATGCCCGTTTGTAGGAGAGACTTTGTAAATCACAGATACAATAATAGTAACACCTTCAAACAATACAAGATCCATTGCATAAAATATGAAATTTAGGCACAAGACCTAAAGAGGGGGAATGGATGGAGACTGGTCGTCACTTACTATCCTATACCTAGCTAATCCGATTCACGGCCCATTAACTCATCACAATTTGCACATCCACCAAAAGAACCTATCCGTCTCCACTCAATCCTTCATGTACCATAATATCTCATACACTCAGGGGACCTACAAAACGCACCCATACATAAAAATTTCATGATGATAAATCTTATTATAAAACGCAGATTGTGTGTGTGTGTGTCTGTACGTTTATATATTGGATCGGATTTCCTACATTTTTCAACTGATTTCAACAAAACTTCACAGGACTGCGTAAAATTACCTTGCGGTGGTTCTGACAGCGCCAAAAATTGGAAAAACTCAATTGTTTTGCACGAAATCAATTTGAAAACAAGATAAAACACGATTCTATCGCCAGAATGAAAGGGGGACAACTCATATCGAGTTATACTTATTATTAAACCCAGGTTGTTTGTGTGTGTGTGTGTTTCTTTATATATGGGATCGGATTTCCTACATTTTTCAACCGATTTCAACAAAACTTCACTTTTTTTTGGCAGGTAGTGTTTCTTATTGTCTTGCACACATTTTTCTTTATTTTTACATTCAGAATGCTTTTAAAATTCCATTTACAAGACAATTGTTTGTAATAAAATTCTATTCAATCGGTAGACTCGTAACGATTGAAAACAATGTTTTTGTTTGAGTTTGGGTTTGACCAATTCGTAAAAAAAAAACAAAAACAAAAAAAAACTAATTAAGACATGCGTGTCCGTCAACTTTAAACAATAATCTTTGTCAATTTTATTTTTCAGTCTTTATGATGGTCGATACTTGATCTATCTCTCACTGTTACATTCCCGGGCAACGCCGGGATCTACTGCTAGTCAATAATAAACGAAATCCTAACAGTAACGATATATATTTCCGAACAAATATAAACAACTGAGGATGAAGTGACAAACGTTTTAGATCACCCAGATTTGAGAAAGAAAAAAAACGAATCGACCATAGTCGGGATCATCGAGTCAATGCGAACGATTCTTCCCTTAAGTGCATAGCCATAGCCATAACTAGGGACTATTTAAGCAAATGAAAAGCAAAAAACAAAAGAAGATAAAATAAAAGCAAAAACAAATGAAAAATATAAAGTATACAACAAATAAAATATAAATGCAGTGCAAAAGAAAATAAAAAACAAACAACGAAAGTAAAAGAAGAAAGAAAAAATAAAAGAAACAAAAGAAAAACAACGAAAGAAAAGCAAAGACACAAAAGAAAAAAAAACGACGAATGAAAAATAAAAAATAAAATAAAAACAAGTGATAAAAATGAAACAGAAGAAACTAAGAACAAACAAAAAATGTCAAACTAAAACAAAAGAAAAACAAATATATAGAAAAAGAAAACAATAGAAAAAGAAAATAAAAAATAATAAAAACAAACAACGAAAGAAAAACAAACAACGAAAGAAAAACAAACAACAAAAGAAAAGAAAAACAACGAAAGAAGAGAAAAACAACGAAAGAAAAATGAAAAATAATAAAACCAAACAACAAAATCAAATAAAAACAAAGTTATAAAGATAAATATAAACAATGAAAAGGAGGGAAAAAATGAAAAAAAATAATAATAAAAAGGAGAAACAAAACTAAAAAGCAAACAAGAAAATTGAAATAAAAACAATAGAAAAAGAAAACAAACCACAAAAGAAAAGCCAAAGCAAAAACAAAAAAAAAGCATGAAAAAAAAAATAATTGAAAAACCTTTTTATGTGTCTTGTCCCGTCAGGACGTAGGCGATCATGGTTCTCCCAAAATCCTGTCCTTTGTAGCTCTTGTCTTTTTGTTACTTCTCCCAAATTTGGTTCCGTCACTCAAGCTCACTGAGTAAGTCATTGTTCTCTGTGTCCATCTTTCCTTCAATCTTCCCTGTGAGTATTAGATTTTCCAAGCCCTCTTTCCTCATTATATGCCCTAGAAATTTTAACTCTCTCTTCCAGATGTTAAGCATAAGTTTCCTTTGTGTTTCCGTTTTCTCTAAAACTCGCTCGTTGCTCACTTGTCGGGTCCTTTTGTAGCTTCTTCAAAATTGCATGGGTATAAACCTATTGAAAAGAACTAAATGGTCATGAATATCCCATACAATTAAACCCCTCTTTTACATTAGTACTGTAAAGGTTTATTAAGTGCCGTCATCGTCTCGTCTGTTTAAATTCCGATGGGACAAAGAGTTTAAGAAGATACACGCAGTGTCACTAACCATGAAATTACATGCTCATAGACAGTTCAATTAGTTGTTCAAAATCGATTAGATAACAATTAGCTTCTTGATCGAGTGACGTAAAATCCTGTTGAATGGCTTTTAATAAGGTGAACTCAAGCGACGGGCCATTCGACTGACTTGACACATTTCACAGATATCCCCACCAACCCGTCGTAGCTAGTCGTTACCGCGATCGTAAAACTGGTGATAAGCTATCTCAGAAATGAGCTACACAACTGCTTCATTAGTTTTAAATAACAATAGCTGAGCATTTAATATAGAAAAAAAAGCCCAAATTGGCACTGCTTCGGACAGCATTCTTAGCACCAGGACTCCTGATTTTCAACTGAGAAACTGTTACGTAATTTTGCACGAAGCAGTTTTCCGCATCCTTTAATGTAAAGTTAATACCAAGGCTGAAAATGATTTCTGAAATAAAATAGAACGTTTGAACTGAAACCGCTGACTGAAGCACACACGCACACAAAAGGTATTACATCTTGGCCATCAATAATAAGGCAATAAGGAATCTGATTCAATCAGTAATCCGGTACTAATTTTGACGATTGCAGATTTCCAAGTTTGCCGCATGAAACTGCCACTAACTTTTGTGATGAACTTTCTTATGTAATTCAATAAAACTACCAGTAATTTTTATTTTTCGTGGGCTTCATTAAAAATCTCAGTTGATGATCGTTTAATTTTTCTTCTTGTTTTATCAACCAACATGTATTGATGATGTACAGTTATTGAAGTGAAAAGAAGGATTAATTTACGATTTTGCCACAGTCGAGATACAAAAACGATTAGAGAATTTGCTATGGGATTCTACCGCCATACGTAGGATTCGATATTACATCATAGTTGTAGAGAAGAAAATATAGAAATTGTTATGTTCCAAGGTTAGGACCATGGAAGAACAACACGAAACACAACAGTAGAAATGACAAAGAATATATTACACGAGAAATAATACAAAGTGAAAGGGTTAGTAAGACTGTCCGACTGGGTTTGCGTGACTGCTATTAGCTTGACTCGATTCACTACCGTCCTAATACCAAATCCGTACTAATACTGTTCTGATACTGTTCGTCTCCCTTGAGAGGCGTAATATATATATATTGTTCGGAGGAGTTCATTCTGTCGGTCTAGGTAAGTACCATGACAAAAATTTATGAGCTTTAGGTAGGTCGGGTATACTAAAATCAAGCAGGTACAGGAATTTAAATATCTGGGAAGTGTTCTAACAGAGGACAGAAAGTTTGACACTAAGATCCGAACACGTATTTGGATTGTCAAAGATGCATTCCAAAAGTGTGAACCTGGAGCGTAGAATCTATGCCTGTCGCGACTTACCTGTGATTCGTAAGATCCGTGAGAAAAGAGCGTGTTAATGGTTATAAGGGTGCCACGTTTACGATGATACATCCTCTTTTCTTTCCAGTGGATTGATTCACTAAGGAAGGACGCCTCGAAAATTTTGTAATACCAAGAAAGCTTGTCAGGAGCTTCTCTTAGTGGCGTTGGTCTCAGAAGTATGAGCCAAAAAATCCTGTACAAAATACTTTATCATTTTAAGTGCTCTGCAAGGATTACTGCCCATTATATTATTTCTTCGAATCCAATTGTGTGTCTCGTTCATCATTAAACTAAAAGAAGGTCCATGACCTGAAAAACATACTGGACAAAGTGTTTTCTTGGAACTATCTGCCAAATTGTGTAAGAGAGACGTGTTTAATTGTTTCTATACAAGAAACATTCGGCATTCATTGACCGAATATTTACTGTTCATTTTAGCTGGATTTTATAAAATCTTCATATTAAAAAAAAGTATTTTTAGTAAAACATTTTTCAGGAAATTTCTTAAATCCGCTAAATATTACAGCACTTTTTTAAATACTGACGAGAATTTCTTGCCAAACATTTTGCTTTTCTATCTGGTAGAAAATTAATGGAATATTTTCTATTCAAATTTCTTTTATTTGGTAAAGCTCTTTGGTTGGAATCCATCACTTGTTCTCCATCCGGTTATGGGTTACAGAGCTCTCTCTAGCCTTGGTTAAGAGCCAGTCTAGGAGAAAGAAAACTATGATGTCAAAATTGGTTGAAATCAACACAACAGACTTCCCATCTTGTCAGTAGGACTGAGGCATCATTTAAGACGTTGGCTCCCACATGACCCACGGGAAGGTCGTTTTGGTATGTCTGCAAGGCCCACACGATCCTCTGAAGTGTCGTTCTCTTTTTTTTTTCTATGTGGATTATTGGGAATGGGGAGCTATGATTGATTGTTTATGAGATCATAATATACCAGAAACATTTCTATTAAAAAAAAATAAGTATTTTTTTATCTTTTTGTTTTTTATTTAGTTTTCCTTTTGGAATTTCTACTGTGATTTTTCGGCTCATTTTTTTTATTAACACAGAGCTGTACCATGCATTCGTGTGGGTTTTGTAGGATTCTGGGTTGTTAAATGGACTTAGGTACCGATCGACACACTGGTTGATCGTGGGTAATAAATATTATCTATGATATCCTTGCCTCATATATAAAACAATATTAAAACAAAGTCATGTATGCCAATATTAATTAAGATATAATGTTGGGATAACAAATAAAAGAAGGTTTCGGAGCCAATGTGTTAATGATTAAAACAGCGAAATACTGTAACCATCCGAATCGAATTGGCACCTGACTGTCTAGTCGATGGAAGTGCTCAAGGTGTGTTAAATTTAAGTGTAGGATTAAATTTAATAAATACGGTGGGAAATATTCTTGACATAAGAGACTCAGAGTTATAATTTTCATAAAGAAAAGGGTTCGACAGCCTGATCGAAAAGTTAATGTGCAATCTCCATCATACTTAGCAACAAGTGGCTTTAACTGAATGTCCTAATAGAAACTGGAACGTTGATTTTTAGCGAAATATCAAGGCACTCTCAAAGGAACAATTAAGTTGTATGTAAGTATGGCCATCGAGCAGAAACCGGTTTTATCAATCCGTTACAGCTAAAAGGCCACCGGGTAAAACACACTTAGAAGATCTCATGTAAAGTGCTGGAGATAGATTCATCTCAGATGGAAATCACAATATAAGGAGAGAGGTGCTTGTGAGCGAAAGCAGATTAATGAGACATGACACGGCTGTCCTGGCACGCAGCCAAAAAATCCTGTACAAAATACTTTATCATTTTAAGTGCTCTGCAAGGATTACTGCCCCTTATATTATTTCATCGAATCCAATTGTGTTGCTCGTTCCTCATTAAACTAAAAGAAGGTCCATGACCTGAAAAACATACTGGACAGCGTGTTTTCTCGGAACTATCTGCCAAATTGTGTGAGAGAGAAAATGCTGACATTTCGCCCGAAAAAGATCAGATTATCGTCAATTAATGTGTTTTGTAGCTTCGAAAGATAAGTATGGGACCTGAACATTTGAAGGGAAGTCGAAACTTATTTGATTGATAGATTTATTGATTGATCTATCTCCTTTGATGTAATATGTTTTGACTTACAAATGTTTGATTATCATCATTTGATAAGTTATCGAATATCTGAAAATAAACACTTTCTCAGAGTAAGCTAAGTGTAATTTGAATGCGCCTTTGCTTTTCATGTAAGAATTTTTTTAATATTTTATCAGAGCACATCAGACAGTGATTATTTGATGGGGAATAGACATATTCGACGTAAATATCCGTTACAAAGATTTTCGATATTAAGCCTTGTCTCTTCACAATAATATGTTTTCTGGCATACCGTAATTGTTTACGTTATGCCAGAAAAGTATTATTGTTATAGATTGAATATAATATAATATTATTATTTAATATTATTTTCTATTATTATTTAGTATTATATTATATTTATTTTCATTGTTCTGATTAACTTTCCTCGTTATACTGTTATATACCGTACCTATGAACACTAATGGGCATGTCGCAATCCTTATAAATACGTTGGACAATATTGTAAATGGGTAATATGCTGTTTAAGTAGTCCACCCCTAGCAGTGGTTTACCTACCTCACGCCGCTGGCGAGTATTGTATTTTGTTGATGTTATAAAGATTACCATTTCGTTTCTTGCCTCCGTTTTTGTTATTCCACATTCAGTAACACTTTCTAGGTTACAACAGGTACCAAGATTTTATGAATTTAAGCGCAGTACTAGATTGACTCCAAGGTCTTGTAATGGTGTCGATGTTGAGTTGCTTATGTAAGATACACCGTGTACATGTATTTGTAATTGATAGAGGATTCCTTTTCTCTTTTTAATACTGAAAATAAAATGAATAAAACGTACAACAATGACATACAGCAATAAGACTTTGAGACTCGTGTTGAAATTAATGGCAAGAATGGTTATTTTTTTTCGTGATGTTATTTACAATAATGGTTTTGTGTCTGTTAAATATTCTAAGGTTTACTGCCTCTTTTGTTTCTTTAAAATTTGGGCTTACTTATTTATAAGTGTTC